CTCCGCGCTGCCCCTGGACGCCCGTGAAAACATCGCGACCAACGACTGTCCCTTCAACACCACGCGCATCTACGTGAGTCGCTGCGCAGCCCCGCTCCTCCCAGCAGCTCCTTTCTGCTGCCTCTCGCCTTTTCTCTCTCACTCTCCCTCTCTCCCCCTTCTTTCCCCTGCTGCCCGCACAGTCTCTGCTGAGTGTGTTCAGCCAGCCTGGTGCCGTGCCCACGTTCTGTGACCCCCTGTCCCACAGGACACGGCGCTGGCGCTCTGGTTCCTCTCCCTGCTGCTGGCAGCTGCGGAAGCCGTGCTCTCGGGCAGGAGCTGCCTGGTGGCTCTGGTGTTCCGCGGCATCGGGCCCTGTGCACACGGCTATGGCAGAGAGCAGGTACAGCTCTCCCTGCGTCTCCCCTGTGACCGCTGCCTGTGTGAGCTGCTGGGTTCTGCTGGGAACGAGGAGGCTCTGCAGGAGCAGGGGGGATGCTGACTTGGAACCTCTTGTAGCCAGCCTCAGTGCCAGACCAGCACCCCTTCGTGGGGAGTTGCAGCGGGACCCTCTTCTTCATCCCCCGGTAGCCAGGCCTGTTCTTTGTTTGTGAGAACACTGCCCATCATGTGTCCTTGCCACCCTAACTTCTTTGTGTCTTTATTTTCCTCTCTAGCTGGCCAGGCCAAGTACAGCAATGGAGAAGCCACTCCGTGAGAGGCAGCAGCTCCTGGCAGGAATTTCTGACTCTGCAGTGTAGCTGGAGAGGTGAGTGCCCCACGTGGGCCCATGCCCACAGCAGCCCCCAGAACACCTTTTCCTAGGACCACGGGCAGAGGGGTCAGTGATGCTGGGCCCTGCAGCACAGCCTGGCACTGACACTGCTCCTCTGCTCCCAGGTGGTGCTGCAGGAGCGCTGTGACCCAGCCAGGTGGGGGCCAAGGTGGTGTCACAGCTCCTGCAGGGGGCTCGGGGTGTGCCCTGCCCCCAGCTCCACCAGCCCCCTGGCACCGACCCTGCAGGCCAGCAGGTGCTGCTGCTCTCCCATCCTCGCCCCGAGCTGCTGGGCCCGTCCTGGTGTGCTGCAGGTTCTTGGTTTCTGGCAGCAGTGGTGGGGGTGGACAGTCCTGGTGCCACTGCAGGCATGGCAGCTGGCTGTGCCTGTGCTCAGATGTCTCAGGGAACAGAAAGGGAAGAATCCCTTTGGTGTAGGTCTCTAGTTTTCTTGAATAAACTTTTCCTTTCTACACTGGCTGTTCTAAGTGGCTCTGCCAGGTGAGTGCTGGTTGGGAACAAGGCATGCCAAGGGAAGGGAAGTGCAGCTGCTCTGTGAGCCTGTCCCTGTGCCTGCCACTGCCCAAGCACAGGAATGGTGGCAGAGCTGTGGCCCCAGTGTGGCACTCACCCACGGACATGGGGATTACAGCTCTGTGCCCAGCAGCTGCAGGGTTCTGGGCCCAGCATCCCCTGGCAAACAGGAGCACTGCAGGGCTCAGATAACACGTTTATTGCATGTGCAAGGTGCTGAGGAACAGGCCTGAAAGCTGCCCTAGTCCTGCTCACTGGAAGGAGAAGCTGGTGCTTGGGAGTCCCCCACACCACCGTCGGAGGAACTCGATCACATCTTGGCCTGCTGGGCTGTGGGATGTCTGCAGAGAGAGACGGCCCTTGGCACAGGAAGGGACTGCACCCCTGTGCCCCTGGCTGAGGGCAGGGCTGGCTCTGGTGATGCCCAGCAAGCAGCGCTGCCACTGCAGTGAATGCCCTGGCACCATCACTCCCCCAAGGGTGCTGCACTGCCAGCACGAGGGGCTGAGCCCACCCACAGCCTGTCCCTGCCTGGGGGCTCTGGCTCACCTTGACAGCCATCACGAATTTGTACCACGCATCCTTCTTCACTTCTCGGCCTGGCCTCAACTCAATCTTGTTTCCCAGCACTGGGTACCCTGGGCACAAAGCGACACATTCAGAACCAGCTGAGCCCCACAGCAAGCATACCCCCACCTGGTGCACTGCCCCACAGCACAGTGTGTAGGGGGAATAATGCTGCCTTGCTCTCTAGGAGACCAAAATGGAGAAGGGCTGTTCAAAGTGGGGGGGATCAAATGAAGATTAAGGCTGAACTGCCCTTGGGCAATGACACCCAAGTGTGTAGGTCCAACAATGGCACCCAGCTTCTGACTCTCAGGCCACAGTCCTGTTCCTGGTGACCCTCTCCTGCTCCCCCTTCTCTGACCCTTTTTTAGTCCTTTTTTAATCTTGCACTAGAGAGCAGGACCAGGTGCTGCCCATTCTTGGCTGTGCTGTGCCAGCCTGAGCCATCCCTGAACCACAGAGTGTCTGAGCTCCGAACTGCTCTGCGCTCTGTATGGTTCAACCTCCTGTCCAGGCAGGCCCACACAGCCCAGGGCTGTGTCCAGACAGCTTCTGACTGTCTCCAAGGATGGCGATCTCACACCTTCTGTGCAACCTGTTCCAGTGCTCACCCACCCCACAGTAAAAATGCCCAATCTCCTGCAGCGGAGCTGGCTCCCCACAGCCACACAGTCCCTGCACTGCTCTCGAGCACAGCCCAGGCCCACCCTGCAGCTCCCACTCCCTGCACTGTGTCATCTCCTGTCTGAGCTGTCCCCGAGCTCACCTGTGAGCAGGCAGGGCAGGGAGGCCGCCCCTGTCCCCGCTGCCACCAGCGAGGCCTCGTAGGTGCCGCGCTCGTCCTGGGGCAGCGCCTGCTGCAGCCGCTGGTCCATGGACACCGTCAGCACCCAGTCCCGCACCTCCTCCCGCTGCTCCTCCTGCGGGCAAAGCCAGGGCCGGGCTCAGCCGCTGCCGGGCTCAGCTGGGCGGCTGCTGCTGCTGCTGCTGCTGCCCCACAGCAGCGGGAGCACAGGGGAGAGCAGGACGGGCATGCGTGATGTGCACACAGCACACACTGCATGGTGCACGGCGGGGCTTGAGTGGGGGGATGTGTGTGTGCTGGGGAGAGAGAGAGGGAGAGTGAGTGTGTGTGTGTTTGTGTACAGGTATGTGTGTGTGTGCTGGGGAGCACGAGAGAGAGAGACAGAGATAAAGAGAGTGTGTGTGTGTGTGTGTGTGTGTGCTGGGGAGCACGAGAGATAGAGAGTGTGTGTGTGTGTGTGTGTGTGTATTTGCGTACAGGTGTGTGCGTGTGTGTGTGTGCTGGGGAGCACGAGAGAGAGAGATAGAGACAGAGAGTGTGTGTGTGTGTGTGTGTGTGTGTGTGTGTGTGTGTGTACAGGTGTGTGTGTACAGGTATGTGCGTGTGCACAGATGTGGGTGTGCACACAGGTATGTTTTTGTGTGTGTGTGTGTACAGGTATATGTGTGTGTCTGCAAAACATCTGTGCACACGTGTTTGTGTTCGCAGCTGTATGCACGTCTGTGTGTGTGTACAGGTATGTGTGTCTGAGTGTGTACACAGGTGTGGGTGTGCACACCGGTGTGTTTTTGTGTGTGTGCAACACATCTGTGCACATGTGTTTGTGTTCACAGCTGTGTGCACATATCTGTGTGTACAGGTATGTGTGTTTGTGCATAGGTGTGTGTGCACACAGGTGTGTTAGTTTTGTGTGTGTGTGTGTACGGGTACATTGTGTGTGCAACACGTCTGTGCACACGTGTTTGTGTTCACAGCTGTGTGCACATATCTGTGTGTGTGTGTACACAGGTGTGGGTGTGCACACAGGTGTGTTTTTGTGTGTGTGTATGTGTGCTCTCAGTGGAGGGACAGGCAGCAGGTGCCTGTGTGTGTGTGTCTATCTGTCTGTCTGTGTGTGTGTGTGTCTGTCTGTCTGTCTGTCTGTGTGCTCTCAGTGCAGGGACAGGCAGCAGGGGCCTGTGTGTGTCTGTGTGTGTGTGTCTGTGTGTGTGTGTCTGTGTGTCTATCTCTGTGTGTGTGTCTGTGTGTCTGTGTGTGTACGCAGGTGTGGGTGTGCACACAGGTGTGTTTTTGTCTGTCTGTCTGTCTGTCTGTGTGCTCTCAGTGCAGGGACAGGCAGCAGGGGCCAGTTCTGGGTCCGTTTCCATCCCTGCAGTCCCAGCTTTACCCCACTCCCCGTTCAGGGCCCTGCAGTGCAGCACTGCAGAAGGGGACAGGTGACACTCACAGGCACGTGCTGCTGGGCTGGAAGGGGCACCTCGAAGGGAATGTCTGTCTGCTGAAAATCAGAGTGGTCCAGGGAGTCCAGGTTCCCTTCCTCGATGGCCTGCAGAGAAGGGCAGAGCAGTGGGCAGTGCCAGCTGCAGTGCTCATGGCCAGCATGGCACTGCCCGTTGGTGCCCAGGCCCTCCTGCCCCCCATGAGCACACTCTGCAGTGTCTCAGGCTCTGCCCTGTGCAGGTGGCCTTGGAGAAGGGAAAGGTGTAATTGGGTGCTTTTGTTTTCCCCCAGCTGCTGCTGACAGCACCTCAGAGTGGGGCACAGTGAGGTGTCAGCCCCTTGGATTTGGGGTTTCTGGTGGCCAGCCTGCTGCACAAGAAGGGAGTGAGGGGACTCCTGAGTCCCTGCATCACAGGGGACAAAGCACTGGGCCATGGCCTCCACCTCCCAGGTAGCTTTTCTTCCCTTGGAACAACTTGAGTGATCACCCTGAACGCTGTAATGGCATCTGCAGCCATGGGGATTTCAGGCCTAGATTGCCAATGTGCTCTTTGCTGCCACGTGCCCGCTGGCACTGGCACGCCCAGGTGATGTGGACAGGGCATGGCAGGGCCCCCCACAGGCAGTGTGGGGGTGCCCCCTGGTCCAGGCACACGCTGGGTGGGTCTGGGGGCTCTCCCCATCTCTCCGTCTGGGGGCTTTGGGTGGGTCTGGGGGCTCTCCCCATCTCTCCAAGCTCCAGTGTGCTGCCCTGCAGGAGCCTCAGGTGAGTCTTGGCCAGCCTGGGGTCTGCAGTAGCCCTGTGGCAGCAATGGCAATGGCACTGTCCCCTCAGAGAGCCAGCCCTGCCTGCCCCACAGAGCATACTCACATCTGACAGGTCCAGGAAGCGGTTCAGGAACACAAATGCCATGTTCTCCCAGCTGACTGCCTGGTATGGAGAGGAGCCCTGGGTGAGAGTGGGCAGCTCATCCTTGAAGTAGTTTTTTGTAGTACTTTGAAGTAGTTTTGTTTTGTATCCCAATATTTTTCCCAAATGGTTTATCCCAGACTGTACCCCCCTCCCTTTACCTGTGTTATCCCTCTCCCTGGAAGAGATCACCCCCAAATCCCCACCCTGGCTCTCTGTCCACCAGTCAGCATCCCATCCCTCCATCTAGAAGCTTCAGTCCAGGATGTGGAGTGATCAGCCAGAGGCCAGGGGTCAGCACCCCAAATGCCCATACACTGTCCTAAATGTCCATTTCCCAGTACCCATCCCTCAGGGTCACTTATTGGTCAGTAAAATGTTATCTGCTTTGGGTTTCCACCTCCCTTTAAATGCAACCTTGGCACACATCCTCACAGCCAGCTCTTCTCCCAGAGCCAGGGCTGGGAAGGATGTGGCTCTGTTTGTGCCACAGTGCCCACCCAGCCCATCTCCAGAGTGCAGACTGGCATTATGGCCAGGCTGGATGGGGCCTGGAGCAGCCTGGGATCATGGAAGGTCCTTGCCCATGGCAGGGGATGGAACAAGAAGAGCTTTAAGGTCCCTTCCCACCCAAACCATTCCAGGATTCTATCACTGCAGGCAGTGAGGACATGCTGCTGTCCCTGCCATGTGTCACAGGTGCCAGGCACAGTGTCAGACACCTGGGTGATGCAGAGCAGCCTCACATCCCCACTGACAGAGCCACAGCATGGCCTCTGTCCAGCCCTGGGCCTGCAGGTCCCATCTGCTCACTGCCTGGGCTCTGGCCAGCTGCCTGAGGAGCAGCCTCCAGGGAGAGCCCAGGATTTGGGGAGGTAAAGCTGAGGGGTCCTGTGTTGTTCCCTGGTGCAGAGGCAGCTCCTACCCTGGCAGCCATGCCAGCCTCATGGAGAGCCTTGTCTGCAGGGAGCAGCTCTTACCTTGGCAGCCATGCCAGCCTCGTAGAAAGCCTTGTCTGCAGGGAGCAGCCCTTACCTTGGCAGCCATGCCAGCCTCGTAGAAAGCCTTGTCTGCAGGGAGCCCTTACCTTGGCAGCCATGCCAGCCTCGTAGAAAGCCTTGTCTGCAGGGAGCAGATCCGTGTGGCGCAGCAGGGAGATGGACAGCTGGGCAGCCATGGTGTCCTGGGCACAGAGACAGAACTCAGCAAAGAGAAAACAGCCTGGAGGGGATCTCAGGAGATCCCCCACACTCACAGCAAGGGCTCTGCACCCACACAGGCCTCACAGGTAAAAAAGGTCAAACTCCTCAGTCCTGACCCTGAGTTCCCTCACTACAGCCCACATGGGACTGTCACC